TACAGATACTGACCTATAATTGTATGGATTAGTCGCTGTGCATCATTCATAACACTTAACCATATAGCACTAAGAGGAGCTCAGTGGCCTAGTGGTAGGAATGTCCGCCCTGGGACTGGGAGATCAGGGTTCTAATACCAATTGGGTCATACTAAAATCTTTAAAAATGGGAGCCAATGCCTCCCCGCTTGACACTCAGCTTTATGGGGTTGGATTGGGGGGTTAGACCACCAAATGGTACCTGAGCATGGCTGTGTCTGCAGCTCACCACTCCCCAGGGGATGGGTCAAATTCGAAGAACAAATTTCACACACCAGTGTGTGACAACTAGTGGGACTTTAAATTTCAGATAGAACAAGTCAATATGCAATACTGCATGAGTTAGCACATCTTATCCTAAGATTATACAAAAACAGCTACAGCTTTTCCATTACTCAACAGAAAAAAGTTGGAGTTTTTAACTCTTGCATTAAAGATGGGAAATGATAGAAAGTCCTGCAAGAAATGCCATCCACCCATCCTCTTCCGCTTATCCGATGTCGGGTCAAGGTGGCAACAGCCTAAGCAGAGAGGTCCTAACTTTCTTCACCCCTGCCACTTGAGCCAGCTCATACGGGGGATTCCTAAGGCATTCCCAGGCAAGCCAAGAAACACAGTCCTTCTATCGTGTCTTGGCTCTTCCTTTAAGCCTTCTTCTGGTTGGACATGCCCAGAAAACCTCACCTGGGAGGTGTCTAGGAGGCAGCCTCACTATATTCCTGAGCCACCTCAACAGGCTCTTCCTGATGTGTAGGAGCAGCAGACCTACTCCGAGCCCTCCCTGGATGGTCGAGCTCATCACACTGTCTCCAACAGACACTATAATTTTGCTGCTTGTATTCACAATTGTATTCTTGCAGTCCCTAAAGTACCTAATGGTCTTGTGACCATAGATGAGGGTTGGAATGTAGATTGGCCAGTAAAGTGAGAACTTTGCTTTTTGTCAGACCGGTACAACACCCACATTGCTTAAGACGCAGCACCAATCCGTCACATTCTCGTTCCATTTTACCCTCATTCTGAACAAGACCCCAAGATTCTTAAACTCCTCCACTTCAGGCAGGACCTTGTCCCTGACCCGGAGAAGGCATGCTACCCTTTTCCAGCTCAAGACCATGTCTCAGATTTGGAGGTGCTGATCTTCTTCCTGGCCATTTCACACTCAGCTGTGAACCGCTCCAGCAAAAGTTGGAGATCACAGTCTGATGAAGCTGACATGACCACATCATCTGCAAAGAGCAGAGACTTTATCCTAAGGCCAACAAAACAGATCCCCTCACCACCTTGGCTGTGCCTAGAAATTCTGTCCATAAAAGTTATGAACAGAAAAGTTGACAAAGAGCAGCCTTGGTGGAGTTCAACTCTCATCGGAAATAAGCCCAACTTACTGCCAACAAAATGGACCAAGGTCTGACTCTGATCACACAGTGACCCAACAGGCTGGATTAAGGTGCCTGGTACCCCATACTCCCAGAGTTCCCCCCACAGGGCTCCCTGAGTGACGAGGTTGAATGCATTCTCCAAGTCCTCAAAACACATGTAGATTGGTTGGGCGAACTCCCACACACCCTCCAGGATCCCCATGAGGGTAAAGAGCTGGTCCAGTGTTCCACAGCCAGGACAAAAAAACACATTAGATAAAAAGTCCTAGTATTTTGCAATAAAAATGGGAAAATAATAAAAAGTCCAGAAAGGAATACTAAGCCTTTAATTGTTTTTTAGCCTTTGCAAGTCAAATTCAAAGATGTAGCTTATGTTAAACTTTCTAAATACCTAAATGTGACTTTTTTGTTTATCTTTAGTAGAAATCAACAAGTTTCCTTCTACAGTCTTGTGTTCCAAATTGATGCACTTATGGTAGAAAAAAGATGGCTTTGAATTTCAAGAATATGTTAACGTGAGATGGTCACTCCCCTCTGGCAGGACATGGTTAACCACATTAATATTTTCACCATTTAAATTTACTTATGCCAAAATTCATGGTTCAATTCACTGACTTAAGCTTTTATTACTCTGACATGAATTATTTAAATCATCTGAGTATCCAGCAGTGTCAGAATATCAGCCTTTTGCACAGTAGCCAAAACAGGTCAACACGCAGGTGTAAAATGAAGAGATTCTGGTCAGCAGTAAACAAGGACTGTCGATTAACCCAAATCTCCTGGCTGCACAGGATGGGAAAACAGGAGACACAAAAGGGGACACGTGATGCACAAACATCTTTCTCCAGGGGGATAAACAAGTCTTGACAGGGTTCACCTTCATGCAAACAACTCTGAGTAAATTGACTAACAAGGGCAGGGAATAAATTATGAATGATGAGATTCTCTAATGATTTTCCAGCGGTAATATTTTACATCCAAAGCTCTGAGCTCTAATGTAACGATTTATTTTTAAATTCTGTATTTGTAATGGTGCTATTGTCAACATGTAAAGTGAATATGAAAAAAAAAACACTTGGTATTTTTATTGGCGACTGTGGCTGCAGGAGATAAGTGTTTGCCCCCTAACTGGAGGGTTGTATATGGCGTCAGAATTCCGCCATATCTCGTGTACACGTATTGTCCACATCGCACATGCGAACGGGACTCGCGCGTGGAAGTTAGAACCTCCACGAGTGAAAATATACATGGCAAGGAGGTCACTGTACACTGTACACTGAGAGGGAGCAAACTGTGTCTGTGAGCGCACAAGGATGTGCACAAGTGACAAACCTGCGTGCGCGCATTGGCCAACGAGCACACAGCAGAGGAAAACATGCGCGCGGCAGCTTCACTGCGCGTGTGGCAGCCTTTCTGCGCTCGGTTTCTGATTCTGCTCGCTCGGCTGTTGGGAGTTTTGGCACTCTGGAGGCGTGGAAGAATTAAAGTGCCAGAAATTGAGCACTTGAACTTTCAATTTGAGAGCAGAATTTCACATCAAGAGACCAACTTTTTAATTTCAGAATAAGATTTTATATTATTGCTCTCAAAACTTGTAATGCTTGCACTCAACGGGTGAATGACTGTTTGTGTAGTGAAGTGGCTTGGGAGGGTTGTAGAACCATCAAAGGTTGGTAGATATAGTATCTATAGCAGTATAGATATTCACCATTAGCCAAAAATTCTCTTTCGTATGCTGATTTAAAACCAGGCATATCCGCGGGCAGTCTGGTGCTGCTGGCGAGTTCTGTTTAAAAGCATATCTACACTCCTGAAAAACACCTTGTTAACAAATGTTTTAAAACATTAGCTGTCAGCTGATGTTTCTTTATATTTATCATTTTGTATATTCAACTGTTGATCAGTTTATTGGTTTATGCATTTAAATAAGACAGAAAATGTTGAGATAACAGCAATGAAAATTGTCTCAAATTGGCAGAACATACCGGCCGATTGATTGTGACCTCTACACATTGGCATCAGCAATAGAAAAACCAGCATCGTTTGATCACTAGTTTATACGTCAAAATATGCTAGAAAAAAAAAGATGTATCCCAGGTTAAAATGATTTAAATATTATGTTTTATGTCATGTTTGTTTTTTTAGAAAGCCTAAACTAACAAAGAAGCACCATTAGTCCCACATATCTTCAGTTTTTAGTGTCTCTCCTTACTCCTGTTTACCCAACATCTGAAGTTGACAGACACACACACACACACACACACACACACACAACACACACAGAGAGAGCAGTGAGGGGATAAGTTTACCACGCTGCAATGTCAAACAAGAAAAACAAAGTCGGGGATCACCCATCGGGTTCCTCGAACCTCAAAAGGAGAACCCTGTCTGTTTCATCAGTCAGGTAATTATTGTTTCCAGTCAGCTGTGACTTTTCTTTTCTAATTCAAAAGTTGAGTTTTTGCACAACTCAATCATCTGCCCCCACACTGAAACCGCACAGTCTCTTTGTGATGAAAGTAAGTAATTTCATAGATTTTCTGTCGGACTTTAGATGACTAAGCAGCAACGTTAGCAACAAATGAACTAATTCTACCTTTATTTGTATGTTCTAAAAAAATGTTTTCGTTAAAAATAATTTTGTTCTTTCCAAAATCTCAGACAGCATCGACTTTTCTTGAGGCTTTGGTTTGCAGCCGGAGTGGACTATACGTGAAAGACTTGCTCAAATCAATAAAATTGCAGCAATAAAAGAAATAAACAAAAATTATTCTAACCAGCTTTGCTTTCACCCTAAACAGTCTGTCAAAAATGGACTAATTATGTGATAATCTGGCATCAAATTAAAAATATGACCAACATTTAAACTCATGGGTAGATGTTCAGGAATATTGTTATTAACATTATGTGATTTACTCAATAAAAAATTTCAAATTCTGTTTTGCAACAAATGCACACTGGATCAGATGTTATCACTATTAGCTGTATGTAATCTTAATCTTGTCAGATACCAATAACGTAATGGTAATGCTGCGGGAACTGAAGAAAAATGAAAAACTGGATTAATGCCCAAATTTTACTTCATTTAGCATTTCCTCTAACATTTTGTTTTACACAGTTTAATCAGTAATAGAAACCAGGCTTTCATCTGCTTTACTTTCTTTTTAACCTATAATCAGTGCCATGGAGGTAATTTTGGGGGGGACAGGGGGGACATGCCCCCCCCCCCCCCCCACCCCACTTTTTCAAAAGTCAAGTTTTGACCCCTGCACTTTTTACCATCCAAAAACAATATTACGCTATATTAAATTGACACTGGTGGAGCTCTAGGACCAAGTGGAAAACAACCATTTGTGTTGAAGCCTGTTTTCCATTAGTGCATACTGTAAAGATCCCCCCCCCCCCACACACACACACTTCTAAAGTGAAAATTACGTCCATGATCAGTGCAGACAAGGTTTCCTTTATAAGTTTCTGAGCTCCTTCAATCTAATCCCAAACAGCTAAGTGAAATAAAAAAATGAATTTTGGTTTTAAAGAGAATGGGTGCAGTGAAATAGAAGATTTCAGTGTACTCACCCTCGTCTGTGTCATTGGTGACTGGGGTCTTGCTGGACTGTCCGAGCCCCATGGCCGCGCCTCCTATCAGATCTCCCTGTCCCACTCAAATCAACCCAGTCTCCAGCAGCTCTCCCTCATAGCCTGGTCCACAGCTAAACTCAAAACTCACACAAACACAGTCTCACGGGCTAGATGCCGTTTAGCTGACTTAAAGTGTTCCCGTCTTCCTCTCAGCTCTGCACCTTGACACAGCCACACATCACTGCGCACACAAAGAAAATGGGCTAGGGGGCTAAAGTGAATGTGCACACACAAACACACACACACACAGGCTGATTCTTCCTGTTTTCTGTCTGTCTTCACTGCTGCTTAGATGGATGCAGGCAGAAGGATGGCTGTTTACTCCAGCTGGGAGGGGGGGGTGGATGATGTGTTTGTAGCTATGACCCTCTGCTGTCTGAGAGGCCAACCTGTGAGGGGAAGCACAGAAACAAAATAGAAAAGTAAAGAAAAGTAAAGAAAATGTAAGAGTTCTTTAACATAGTACTACAGTAGAACTCAAGCAAGTTGTTTTTCAGTGGCGTGTCTAGGGCTTTTAAAGTGGGGTGGCCCAAATGGGGCACTTGGGTGGCACCTATAGTTATGCATTTTATTTTATTATAATAATTTGTGTGTGTGTGTGTGTGTGTGCGTGTGCGTGTGCGTGTGTGTGTGTGTGTGTGTGTGGTGGCTAGCAAGCCACTTGTTGCACTACTGCCACAAACTGGAGAGGGGTGTGGACCAAAATGCAATTTATGTAAATATGAAAATAATAATAATAATAATAAACATGCAAATGTTCTGTAAGCTGGAGCTAGAAACCAATGAAAAGGGCACATGCTACCACTTACTATTTTGGGGTCTATAACCCCAAACCTTGTGTGGACAATATTAAGTCATTTTGAAAGGAACTCAGTGGGGTGGCACCTAGAGTGGCCAATAACATCCCAAGGGTGGCCAATCTCTAGACACATCCCTGTTGTTTTTCCAGACATCAGCTTGAGTCAAAAAGCTGAAACTGTCCTTTTTCTATAAATTATTTCACTGCTGTTTTTTTAATAAAAATAAAAAACATTCCACAGGAGTGATGCCTGAGGGATTAAACTGTGTGATTTACAGAATGCCTCAATCAGGGTCTTTTCCTAGGGCCACACAGGATGGCATAATAAAGAAAACATTTAGAATTTTTCCTTTTTGACATTAAAAAAAAATAACTTTTTTAATCAGGTCGTGTGTTTGCGACCTAAGTTAGTTATGAAAGGAATCATCCTGCCCCGGCTTTCCGGATAAAGTCACCACTACTTGCCCATCAGACTCCATTCAAAAGTAGGGCTGGACGCCGCAGTGCCCCGCTGCCCGCAGCGCTCCAGGACACTGCGCTCACTCTCAGACCCCTTATCTGATCCAACATGCACTGCATTCAGATCACCGCCTCTCCTCGGGGCACCTACCTCAGAACGCAGGCGCTCAGCTGGGCATCGTGGTACCAGTTCTGACCCAGCCTGCTGATGCTGCGGAGATGTGGAGCAACAGTGCGGCTCGGGGTATGAGTTGTCACCGGCGTTCGGACGATGACGCGTCAGACAGGACACCTGCCTCTGGAATAATCCGAAAAATATCAAATAAAGGAGAACCGATTCAGCGCGGAGAGACGGAGAGACGTGACCCACAGGACGCGCCGGTGGGGAGGTTGTGGTACAATGCGAAATCCCGTGCAGTGTTTGGGAAGGACAGGACGACCACAGAGTAATTACGGGAGAAGTGCTCCGCGCCGCACGTCGGGCTGATGTGCGGCTGACCTCACGGTCTGTGAGGGTTAATGCGCTGCACACCAGAACCATGCGTGTCTGGAGGCAGGTCCACAATAGACCTGGCTGCTACATCACTCCATTCAATGAATGTGATCCAATGGGGATGATGTCACATCAGTAATACGTACATACAGACTATAATACATAATACATACACACACACACACACACACACACACACACACACACACACACACACACACACATATATATATATATATATATATATATATATATATATATATATATATATATATATCAGCTATCCTTGCTTGTCTCTTTTGTGTGTATGACTTCATATAACTTGTAGAAGTAGGCCTACTGGGTCGGTTAGGCCTGCTTTTAGCACCTCCTAGCGTTCGTTGCATAAACGAAACTGAAACTCATGAAAACTAAAATAAAAAGTGTTACTGCCATCCTTATGAGAATTTCCGATCTCCCAAATACCGTGTTATGATGATTTTATATTTTTAGACAGAAAGTATTTGCATTATGAGGTTGTTTGTGGAGTTTTATGACTGTTTACAGATTGTTCACAGTAAGCACCAGTGAGGGTCACATTTGACAGAACTGTCAAATATTTCAGTCAACAGAAATTTGTAATGCAAATGTGATTCAAAAAGACATGGCACATTGGGTGGAATAGCAGGTTTTTATGAGCAAGTCTAGCTCAAAATGGCCACAGATTTTCTGGTTGTGGATCTCTTCCTGAACAGCCTCAGCTAGGAGAAATAACTATGTCCTGTACCAAGGTGAAAAGGCTAATGGGCTCGACACATGGGAGGCAACATCGCCTCTCCTCCATTCACTTTCAATGAGACATGCGCAACAAAGCGATAATCGCGGGTCGCCTCCCGTGTGTCAGGTAATAAAAGTGACAGCGACGAATTTCGCTGATCGCGGTCGTTTGTCGCCCCCCGTGTGTCAAGCCCATTAGTCTGAAATCAGCTAAAACCAAAGTATGTTAGGCTACTACATAACTGTGACCATCCTAATCCCATTGTGCTACATGCAGCTAGTGATGTTTATGTAAAAAATTAATCACACTTTCATGAATAACCATTTCATCCTAAATGATATTGTTGAAAATGAATAATGGTCACTACAGTGGACAGCTACTCAAATTTATGTTTTCTAATTATTTTTTTTTTTGCCAGTAAGCACAGCTGTTGACGACTTTATTGCATTTGCCTGTTAAATTTATGTGGGTAAAAATCTATATGGGCAAATCCATGTGGGGCCATCATGGAAACCACGGACAAACCCTGTTGGCACCCAAAAAAATCCATAAGGGACCTACCTATGCATGCTGTCTGGGTGCTGGTTTTCTTCTGGATGAAGCATTTTATCCTCAATTATTCAATGGAAGCTTCTTGTTGGCCAGAAACAGTGAATCGTGGTTTTACAGCCAAAGTCCTAAAAACAAAACAAACCACAATACAGTTGAAGGGCAGCGAAAAGGCAGCTGTTCCCATGACCACTACCACATTATTAAACAAACTACCTTCACATTGAGTATCTATCTGGGCCAGAACATCGACTTGTTCTAAGAGCTACTTTTTGGTGAAGTTTGTTAGCCTAGTTTCTAATTTTACATTTAGCGTAAAATGCATCCATTAGAAGGACTGCAGTCACCTGGATCTCTTTTAAATCGTACAGCCAAGGTCAAGAGGAGAGTGGCTGAGTGGTGGGACTGGGAGATGAGAGACGCTGACGGAGCACACCATACTCCCCCCCTCCACCCACCCACCACACCCACCCCACCCCCACCCCCTGCCACCATGCTGCTCTGTTGCACAAAAACGCACTCTGTATGTGTGCTGTTCATCTTCACACAGTGAAGTTCCCAGTATAATGTGACAGTGGCAAGCATCACTCCAAACCAGGCCAATCCCTTATTGGGCATTTGGCAGCATCAGGAGGTGTGTTCAACTTTTTAGATGGGATGAGTGATGAGGGTGTCATAACACACCTGGACAGAGATGAAGTGAAGCTACTTAACTTTAGCGTGCTCCAGCTCTGTCCCAGTTTTGATTGCACAGATGGCCTGTAAATATAAGTTATAGTCGTAAAAGCTTCCATTTTTATTTAAAAAGTGGCGACTTTCAATCATGCACGAGGATGTCAGACTCGGATGTTATGTGGAAAAGAAAATTCTTGAAACTTAGCCCCATCTGGTGGACTAACAGGAAAATAAAATACTTTTTAAAATCAGAAATGTACATTTTGGGGACAAAAAAATGAGGAACGCTAAGTACTTATAGATTTCTCCCCTCTTTGGAAACGTTGGAAGCCCATTCCTGCCACTCTGATTCAAAAATATTATCTCATGATTGTGACTTTGCTAAGTCATAGTTATGAGATCACTATTATTAGATTATTTTAAATCAGTGGCGGGAAAGGGCTTCCATTCAACAAATACAATTGAATAAAGATGACCAAATAAATAAAACATAAATACATTTTATTTAGGTGTTTTTTTATTTATTTTTGTAACAAACACAGGTCATTGGTTTTAGAGTAAAACAAAGTCCTCATCTGTGACCTTGAACAATAAATTTGGCTAAAATCTTCTCCACAGCTCATGAAAACTTGGATACCCTGAGTTAAAGTTGAAATTAATGCTTCCACATCTTCCCCAACCAATATTTAAATTCCAGACTTCCACAGTTGCATAATTGTTTTGGAGTCAGCTAAGAGGGTGTGTTAGATCTGTCCTCCTGCATACGTGGCTGCATGTGTGCATTGGTCACAAGAGAACACACGAAGACAGCATCAGAACAGTCGTTCCCTGTGAGGTATGTCAATCATCAGCCACTTGCTGCTTGTTTCATCCTTGGTGCCGCTGGCACTGAGCTACCCCTTCTACCTAACAACGTGCTACTCTAAGGCTCTGAGCATGAAGCGAGAGGTCACCCAGATGGCCGCACACCTCAAGAGAGACCCTGAAACTGTAAGTTGTATATTTCTGGTCCATTTTTTAAATAAATACTTTGATTCTGTTTGACATATTTTTGAATTGTAATCATTTTTTGTTGCTTTTTATTTTTTTCCAGAGTTTGTGCATGAGTCACATGCCAGAACTGTATATTGACATCCATGTAAGTAAAATCTCCTTAAAAATGAAATGTGCACAACACAATTTGATTTAAAAGTTCAATATATATATATATATATATATATATATATATATATATGTATATATATATGTATATATATATATATATTTTTTTTTTTTTACTCAAAGTCTATTTTTTCTGTTTATTTGGCATTCTGTCTGTGTTTTTCTTACTTGTTTTCTGTGGCTTTTTAGCTGCAAACCTCAGCTCTCATAAATCTTACTCTCATAATTACTACTCATGACAGAATGCCTGTGTGATGTACAAACTATGGACGTATATCTCCTTGGTGGAAGGCCTCAGACAGAGGCGCTGCGCTTACACCAGAGAAGTGAGGAAGCTGGAATACAGTCTGCGCACACTCTTCATCATTCTGGGAGAGAAATGTCACGGGGTAAGATGAGAAAAATGGACCCAATTGATGAAAGTTAGGCTAAAAAGATGCAATGCTGAGTTGCATCCCAATTTGATGAGACTCCTTTGAACCAGCTGTTGCTCATTACCTCTTGGCCTCAGTGGCAGCTGCAGGAAAAGATCTTGGTAGGGCTTGGTGTGACAAAAATTCTCGTCTTAGTCCATTATAATAAGTATTCAAATGAACAATTGGAAAATTACATTTCCGAAACAATCCAAATTATACTATAATAAAATAGTAAACAAATCAAAATAAATGCACAATGCAACGGCAGTGCATAATTTCCATTTTAGCCTTATTATTATTATAATTTCGTAGTTTGAGTTTACAGGCTGCGTCTCAATCTGCCCAGCGTGACAACTCCAAGTGCAATACTCAGTTCCACCAGTAGGTGGTACAGACACCTCATCGAAGTTAAATTTGATCTCAATGTCACTATCAACCAATATCAATCGATATCAATATTGATAACACATTTCACTTTAGCAGGTACAATTTCAACTCGTATCTATACAAATCAACAAGTAGTGTGAGTGAGTGAGTGAGTGAGTGAGTGAGTGAGTGAGTGAGTGAGTGAGTGAGTGAGTGAGTGAGTGAGTGAGTGAGTGAGTGAGTGAGTGAGTGAAAAGGAGATCCAGCAGAGGTGTGGACTTGAGTCACATGACTTGGACTCGAGTCAGACTCGAGTTATTATTTTAATGACTTCTGACTTGACTTGATAAAATCTATAAAGACTTACAACTTGACTCGGACTTGAACGCCAATGACTTGTGACTTGAATTGACTCGCATCTGTTGACTTGATGATGACTTGAGCATATTTGATATTTTAGCACAAAAGTGACACGACATGAACAAAAATCATAAATCAATGTTCGTTCTGGGTTTGACCTTGTACTGCTAAATGCAGCAGCACTTTTTTTATAATCATTTCAGTTGCACTTTCTGCTCTTTTGAGCAAATAAATGAAGCTTTAAGAAGCTTTATTTCTTATTCATGTAATTTATTTATTATCATTGTCATAAAATTGAAGTTGGACAGATGACTTGAATATGACTTGAAAATTCAAAGTTAAGGACTTAGACTTGACTTGGACTTTCACATCATGAACTTTGGACTCGACTTGGACTTGGTTGTCTTTGACTTGGACTTGACTTGAGACTTGACTGGAAAGACTTGTGACTAGCTTCTGACTTGCAAAGCAGTGACTAGGTCACACCTCTGAGATCCAGCACCTTCTAACAAGCTTGCTGGCTGTAGAGGCACTTTTCCAACACCCCAGCAGTTATATTAGTGTAAATTATTCAGATTGCATGTACATGTAGGCACACACAATTTATCAATATACATTTATAGTAAAATATTTGCAGACATATTCGTTGTAGATTTGTTTTTTTCCTTTTTAGATTTTTTGCTCCCTGAAATGAAGCATCCCCTACTGACAAGCCACCGTTGCTTGACCTACCAAAGCTGGTAGTTGTTACGGATGTCTCTAACATCTCATCTGTCCGCTCGTGGACTTCAACTCCACCAAGTTCAACTGCAGCCAAACTTCAAAAGCAGCATGTAGCAGACAAAGAGCTGGCTCATGTGCAGGAATCCAGAACTATAGTTGTAGCCAGCTACAGTGCACGATAGTGGAGATGATCATTAGTGGGTAAAGTCTCTCTCAGAGCTCAGATCAAGGTGAAAATAAAAAAGGGGTGGTAAACTTTCAAAATAAAACTCAATGGTAAATACCAGTAACATATTTCTAAAGTTTTTAACCACACTACCAGTCGCTGCAGCCTGACAGGAGATCATAATTTGAAAAAAAAATAAGAGCTGGAAATGCAGACATGCTGCAGTTTAATGGGTCACTCAGTAGGTGCTGTGACGGGATTAATCAGGGTTTATGATGCAGATTATGAAAACGGTGCTGTCCTCTGTGGACGTCTGATCTAGCTCACGTGACCTGTGAAGTCAGACTCATCTCCAGTCAGTGTCTCTTAACACATGACCTGTCTGTGCAGACTGGGGCATGATGTGAAAAAGCTGTAATTAAGGTCAGTTACAGACTGGAAATGGAGAGAGCGTCTATGTGGGTGACCCTCTGCTGTGGCTTGTGTACATTATGTACTCATGACTGTTATGACATAATTTAGGAATCAAATGCGATTTGTTTTTGTTAAATAACAAATTGACTAACTATATGCTTGTGGTTTTCTGTGTTTCTGTAGGACTTGCTGTTCACCACCTTTGACTGTGCTGCTCTGGAGCGTTAAGTTACCAGAAGATGAAACTGCAGAAATATTGCAGAAGAATTTGAGAAAAGAGCTCAGAAGCTCAACTTCTCTTATCACCTGAGTCACATATGTAAAATCTACATAGTTAAAAAAAACAAAATGAAAATATTTTTTTCTTTTTTTTGTCTGCTATGGACTATTTTATACTGATAACTGCTACATCAAATGTGATAAAATCTATCATTAAAACCCTATTCTCATTTCTCATGTATTAATTTTTGTAGAAACATGGCTTAAGAATAGTTCACCCAAAAATGGAATTTTGTTTGTTGACATATTTCCCAGACTTACATAAGTGGGAAACAACAATTTGTAACCAGCCCAGTCATTCTCCTGACCCAGCTGTACTCCTTTAGCTTTAGCCTAGCATAAAACACGGTAAGTGAATGGGACCAACTAGCATTGTGAGAAAAAAGTCAGTAAAATCTCTCAGTAGTGATACTAATTCTACTTGGTGACCCAAATATCAGCTGCTTGTGAAAATAAGAAGTAACATGAAGGAATTATAGGCAACATTTTATGGCAAAATACAACTGTAAGCTTCGGCCAAAGGGTGCAAGGACATGGGTTGATATGGCAACCCTTAATGCTGGTACACATTCTTGAATTACAAACATAACTTCCTCAAACTACTGTAGGTAGCAGCTCATGCATCTGTTATTTTTCTTTGTCTATAAGTGTGTTGAGAGGTTGGCAAGCAACGTGTGGATGTGTTTACGGAAGTAGGTGACTTTGGGGCCGCTGCGTGATGATGTCCTTACAGCTTACAGCTGTGCTTTGTCATAAAATGGTCCCAACTTTTTAACTGGTACCTGGAATTCATTTGTATTACTTTTTATTTTCATATGCATAATACATTCACATAAAGATGTATTCTCAAAATGCTAGTTGGTCCCATTCACTTACAGTGCTTTATGCTAAGCTAAAAGAAAAAGAGTACAGCCGGGTCGAGAGAATGACTGGGCTGGTTAAAAATAGTTTTTTTCCCCAATGATATAAATTTGGGAACTATGCCAACAGACAAAATTTCACTTTAGAGTGCAACACCCCTTTATTCACAGATGTGTCCTGTAAGAAAATAAAGATAACAATTTTGTGAATTTAAATGTTTGTTTCACCCTAAAACTGCCATGCAATAAAATGCAATAAATACGAATGGTTTTAATTTTTTTTTTAAAGGGACTTTTCGGACTTTTGAATTTTTATGCTTGCGATTGCCCCCTCAGGCCAAAAGCGTAACAGCAGCTTCAATAGTAGGCTCGTGCACGAGGCGCGCATGCTGTATGTGCACACTCAACAAAAATAACAGCTGAGCTCTGTGTGTGTGTGTGTGTGTGTGTGTGTGTGTGTGTGTGTGTGTGTGTGTGTGTGTGTGTGTGTGTGTGTGTGTGTGTGTGTGTGTGTGTGTGTGTGTCCGTGTGTGTCCCGGAGGACAGAGTACAGGATAATGCACAGCTAATTACTTAAATAATTTGGCTCTGTACCTTTCTCTTCAGCACAATGGTTTAAGATGGGTCAGTCCTCCATGCTCAAATAATTCCATTCACTTGCTTGAATAATTGTTCCAAAATGAAAGTTGAACCCACATCTTTTTTATCTGTGAATTCAATGCTGTTCGGCACGTCTCAAATAAAAATTTGGGCATCTTACTGTAAAAAATACACCACTGATGTAAAAAGGAAACTCTAAATAAACTATGTTCACATCCAGAATCGAACCCAGGTATTCTACCTGGGAGTCAGACACCTTACAAGGAGAGCTACACTCTAGTAACTCTAGTAACTCTAGTAACTCTAGTAAATCTCATGTGTCCTCCACCCAGAGCTTCACTGACATTTCCAGTATCTGAGTCAATATGAAAGCAAAATAACTGTCACAGGATCTTCAAAAAACAGGGAAGGGAAAAAGACATCCAAGATACTGACAATGCCGATCAGTGGCAGGCTAAGTGGACCTGTCACTGGCTCCAGCAGAACAAAGTGAAGGTTCTGGAGTGGCCATCTCAGTCCCCTGACCTCTATACCACAGTGAGGAGAACTCAAACGTGCTGTTCATGACAGACGGAACAAACATTTACAGGAACTGAAGGCTTTTTGCCCAGAAGAATAGTATTTTTTTACTATTAGATTATATTCACAGCCTTCTCCACAATGATCACAAGACTCCAAGCTGACATCGATGCCAAAGGGGGAAATAAACGGTGTTAAGAACTTCAGTGCGTAAACTTTTCAACAGTGTTGTTTTGGTATTTTATGATTGTGATTTGAAATGAGTTCACATATTTATTCACAATAAATTGATTCACAACATCTCTGATCATGAGTGAAAAAAAAGGTTTTTGTGTTTTCATTCATATTTTTCTTGAGAACTGGACAAAAAAAAAAGAAAAATAAATCATCCAGGGTGTGTAAACTTATTGTCACAACTGTATTAACGTGAACATTTATAAATCAGTTATTGATTGTTGGCTCAGAGTTTGATGGGTGCCATTCATCTGGCCACAGTCCCGCTGTCAGCTACATTTCAGGAGTGACGAGATGGGTGATGCAGCCAAGATGGCGGTGGCGGGAACCACCCACTGGGCTTCAATTCAGGTCTTCAGAAACCTACAGGTGATGGTGCGGAGGTTTTGTCCATGTCTTTTATTGGAGAAAATCCATGTATGCATGGGATGAACATGGTTACTCCACACAGAAATCCTGCAGCTGAGATTCAAACAAAAGGCAACAGTGCCACCAACTGTGCTACCTACAACTCCTTCCTTAAACAACGATGCCTTCCTGTCCATGTCTTATAAATCATCTAAACCTTCTCCTAGAGGTGTGGAACAAGAGGTTTCAGACATGACAGTAAATGAAGTGTGAGTTAGAGGTTCATGTTTGTGGTGATTTCTAGACAGAACAATTAATCCATCTAGTGTTTTGCCACTTTCTGACCTCATCTTAAACTTTTTCCTCAACTTTTAACTGTGCAGTCAAGACTAATGCATTCATTAATCAATATTTTCTGAACAAGAACAAGTTAAACGCCTCATAACTACGATGCAATGAGAGTGTCGAAAAGCAAAAACAGGAATACGAGTTAGAGAGAACAAACGTACAAGAACAGGAAAGGTCAGAATTTATAATTATTATAAAGAAAAGTCATTTGTATAATAACCAGCAGAGCAATTGTGTTTAAATAGAGATCAAGCTTTGGCCCTGATGTCGGTCAGTCCAACAATCACACACCTACAGGACTAGAAAAGATTACGTCCAATTTTCAACTCAACTTGGAGTGATTACAATAAAACGGGATCAGTATTATAGAATCCACAGAAATAAAATCTGAATAAATTCCTCTTGAAAAGAGATGATCGGTTTTGCAAAAAGTGGAAGAAAAGCCAACATAAAAATTTCAAGTGTTTTCTTTAAAAAAAATAAATCAATACATGCAGTAAGCCAGAAGCTATTGAGCACCACATTATCAAGGATTTGATTAGCATAAATCAGGAGAATAATAAAAGTGTCTGTATCTTGAAAACTGAGATGTTGCCCAACTTTTGTAGGGTCATAAAATACCAGCTTGGGGTCTTGCAAGTATTTTGAGGAATCTCATATTTTATTCAAGATTTTTCCAACTTTGTAGAAATTTGAAAAAGTGACTCAGGATTTAGCTAAATTATTTCAGAATCTCCCCAACTTTGGTTGTCTTGCAAAAGTACGTAAAAAAAACCTTTGCACAATAAACTATTATAACAAAGTACTCACATTTATATTCTTTTTCATTTACAAATTGGTTTGCTTTGATATATTTTGAATTGACTCTGAAATGTGTGAGAAAAAGTGCCCTCAATGTGTAATTGGACCCATCATCAGTAACAGAATAATATAAAGGCACATGAAAACATTTAATTTCAATGCTTTTTTTTTTTTAACTTTAAGTAATTATAAAAAATCCCAACAAATTCATGTACATCCACGTGTTCAGGTCAGGCCAGGGTTGCTGAGTTAAAATGTCCACTAGGGGGTAGTGTTTCTCTAAACACGCTGGTGAAAACAAACCACAACTGAAATACGGAGAGAAGAGAAACCAAACAAATACGCATATAAACGCATTTTCTAAGAAACAACGAATGAAACTACAGAAATGCACAAGATTGTATCTTTTTTTTATTTTTATTTTAGATAAATAAACAGCTGTCAGGCACATGGCTTCTGTTGAATCAGTGGGCGCGGCAGCTGCATTCTGACGCACCAATCCGGATGTGAAGTCCTCTCACCTCTTTAGCATAGTGATGCTATGACTTACAGGACTACATTTCCAACAGAGGCCTTGTTGGGTAGTGAGATGGGGCGTTTTCACTCAGTGTGAATCAACAAGTTGCGAGAGAGAGAGAGAGAGAGGGAGAGAGAGAGAGAGAGAGCTCTATGCGGAGGGCAGGTGGTCACCGCGCGTCTTGGAGCTCATGAAGCGGACCATGTCACGTTTTCACTTCGTAACCACCGGAACCCGGCTTTAAAATGGACGAAGTAGAAGGAGTTCTTTAAACTTTTACAAATCTCACTTTTTATTATTTTTTAGGCAAACACACGACTTCTTTCCAGTGCGTCACAGCGTGCGTAAAAGCTCCAAAAGCAGTCTGTTTTATTTGATTTGCGTGTTTTCGTTTAAACCGTAAACCATGGCGCTGGCCAGGTTTAGTAAAATGCTCCGGCTTCCCACAATTGAGACGAAAAAGAAGGTGAAGCACTACGAGCACGTCCACCGGGACATCAACCCTAATGACATCTGGGAAATAGTCGGGGAGCTGGGCGACGGCGCGTTTGGGAAGGTCTACAAGGTAAGACACCTGCCTAATCCTCCTAAAAAAACCTTTCCCCTCCTTTGTTCACACCAGATCTCTTCCCGTGCAGCTTCATTGTGGTAAATGTGATCAATTTGCATATTTTCTCAAGTTTGTTGAGCCACTTTCAGTCATTCATGGGATGTGTCACCCTACCAGAATTACTGCTGCTGACATAAAACTTAAGTATGTTGTTGGACCAGATTTAAAACCAACGCCATAGAAACCTGCTCTTTCTCAATAGTTTCTTTGGTTTCCTGCAAAAAAGAAAATCTGGTCTTAACTTATGTGCATCAGAATTAGAAATGTTGCACCCCACTCTGACGCTCCTTTCATTGGTTCTGTTTCTTCTCCCAAACCTCAGCAGCGGAACCAGTTCTGGCTCACAGGACGTATTTAATCTGGACTTTCTCAGTTCTGTCTGTGATGTACAGTCCCTCTGTGTCAGCACAGCCTGGCAGAGCACACTGCGTGTCTTTGATGCATTTGGGGACTGCAGGACAAGTCATGCTTCAGTGGAATCCTGGATTGACTGGAAAATGCAGTCTATTTTCAGACAGAACCACTCACTTTGGACTATTCAAGGAACGTTTATGGAATTGGTTCAACAATGACTAAAGTTTGCAACATTTTATTAGGTAAAAGTAAATGTTTCTGTAGTTTTTAGGACTATAAGCACAGGATTGGAGAAAAATTGCATAAGTCAGCCTACAACGTGTCTTTTGAGTGAACCAAGTATGTGAGGTGTGTTGCTGACTGCAGCATGATTCAAATAAATGAGGGATCTGGCTGAACATAAGATTCTACAAAGTTTGAAATCTCATCACATTTCTTTTATTTTCTAAGTGTTGAACAGAGCAGTCTGTTTTTTCCCCCATTCCTACTCAAAAGCCAAACGTCTGCTCCAGCCGGAGCTGAGGACAGCATGTCTTCATACCTGTAGCTCTCAGACGTTGGCTGTTGGGAGGAGGTGATAGCCTAGAGAAGAAGTCGTGGGATAGCCATTGCATCTCTGGAACCGTCAACTTCCTCTCACAGCTCTCAAATCTCAGCACAATCATCTGAAGTGTGGGAGGAAAAAAGCCTTTGGTGGTGATTTCCACATGTTTTCAGTTGAAGTCTCACAGATCTGGCTGGGGGGAAGGGTGAGAGCTCACTTTGTTGGTAGCAGTAGAGTTTTACAGATAGTCACATAAGAGGGTTTTAAAATGTGTTTATGCACCAAACAGCCTCTCTCTCCTGACATTTAACAGACCTCTGTGATTGGTGTGCTCGTGTCACACGGATGCTCTTGGTGGGATTGTAGTGACTCGCTAACGCGGATGGTTGAGGACAAATCGG